ACCTCTACCACTACGGGATTTGAATCGACCACTGCATCTGTGTGCTAATGTGGTGTGTCAACTAGAACTGATGTACGTACGTACAAAGTTCTACGTTGTTGCTGACTGACTAACTTTCCAACTCCCTTTGGTAGATTCTCCGTGTCCACCGACCCAGTGAAAGAGATGGACATTCACTTTTCGTCTTTACAATTTCGTTAAGAACAATCAGTCAGCTACAACGTAGGACCAGGCACATATGTGCGTCGGTTCAGGTTGCCATACCTCATTAGCACAGCAAGATGAACACCAGATTCATAGGAGTGGTTAGGTCAAAGGTGGTAATATATAGGGGAAAGATTGAAATAAGGATATAGTATAGGAGGAAAGAATTATTTAGTAGAAAGAAAGATATGAAGTGATTTTAATCTCTTAGTTTAAGGGAAGACAGGGAGTGTAAACACCGACGCCATTGTGATCGATTCTGAGCCATGTCACCAAGAGTCTCCAACCATTGGTTACGAAAGTCACGCGAGAATTCAGTCGTTGAGAGTGTTATTTCCATCAATAGGTCTATGATAAAGTTAAACAAAAATGGAGAAAGTGAACAACCTTGACGGACACCATTTGAGGTTGCAAGAGCAGATGACAGTTCTCCATAAGTTCTGACTCGACTAGCAGTGTTCGATTAAAGAGCCTTAACAAGATTTATATACTTCTGAGGTACGCCGTTCAATGACAGACACTGCCACAGAATCTCGCGGTCTACAGAGTCAAATGCTGCTTTTAAGTCAAGAGAGATCACCATTGTCGGACGCCGATGTGTATGCCTGTGTTCTAGAACCTGACGAATGGTGAATATGTGGTCGATGCAGCCACGACCAGGTCTGAAGCCAGCCGGATTTTGTCGTGTTTGCAGTTCATGAGTCTTAGTTAGGAGTTCGATAATTATTGAGGCTAGTATTTTAGGTGCTATGTTAGTCAAACTAATCCCTCTATGGTTGTCACAGGATGATTTTGACGCTTTCTTATATTTTGGGACGATAAGTGATTGCGACCCGTCAGATGGGATAATGTCTAATTCCCAGATCTTAGCTAAAATATTAGTCAACCTAATTGCTAAAATTGGACGACCATGTCTAAAGACCTCTGGAGCCAATCCATCTGGACTAGCTGCCCTTCCTTGTTTCAGATTAACTATAGCCTTGTCAACTTCAGCAATAGTTGGGGGACCTACTTCAATGTTCCATTCATATTGTCTGGGAAAGGAGGGTAGTTGTAGAGTAGCTGAAGGCCAGTTGAACTGTTCTCTAAAATGTTCCGTCCATCGTTCTAAACGTCTGAACTGGCAGCAGTTGAGGGTATCGCCTTTTTCCGAAATAATCTCACTTACACTTGACTTATTAATTCCAGTTTCTTTTATTAGTCTGTAGAGCTGTCTTGTGTTCCCTATAGTCACCGCCTTTTCCATCTCTTTTGCTTTCGTTGCTCACCACTGCTCACGGTCGTTCCTTAGACTTTTTCTTAACCTAGATCTGTTTTGTTTACGCTCTTCATCATGTTCAGAACCTGATGGGACGAGTTTGCGAGAATCCATCAGTGTAATAGACTTTGAAGAAATCCACGGGTTCTTTGTAACTCTGTGGTTTAAGTCGCTAATAGATGTCACTGCTGCTTCCACAGCTGCTTGTATGTCTTTCCAAGCAACATCTGGGTCAGCCTCGTCTTCAGAACTACCTAAGTGTGACCTCAGTTGTTCCTGGAACCTAGTTTTGGTTTTGTCGTTACTCAACTCAGTTCTAACGGGTCTTTTTGATGTGGCTTTTTTGCGTCCAGTGAGGCGCAAGCAGATGCGTGCCCGTATTAGGGCGTGGTCGTAGTCCAAGCAGGTACTCCAGAATGAGTGACAATCTTGTACCGACCCTCTCCAACGATGACTGATGGCAATATGGTCTATTTGAGTCCATCGTTGGTTTGGTGTAGGGGGTCGCCATGTTAGTCGATGTCTTTCCTTATGCTTATAATCTGTGTTTGCTTAAAATAAATGATTGTCTGAGCATAGTTGCAGCAGACAATCACCATTATCTGTTCACTGTGTCGGAATACTAAAATATCCACCTAAATGCCTTTCTGTTTGGTTTAAACTACCTAACTGAGCATTAAAGTCACCTGCTACGAGTACTATATCTGAGTGTTTAGCTTTCTGAAGAAGTTCAGAAAGCTTTCTGTAAAATTCATCTTTCACTTCATCTGAGCTGCAGTCAGTGGGAGCGTAGGCAGAAACGACAAAAAGGCAACGACGTGTGTCCCTATCCTTTCGAGTTCTTATGGAGCCGTTTAGCCGAACAGCACATAGACGACTGTTGACGGGGATCAACTCTAGCAGTGCTTGTTCGGCCCTCATGCTTAGTGCTATGCCTACACCTGCCAGTCCACGAGAACTGGCCATCGAGTCACCAGATACACGAAGGGTGTATCTCGTTGGCTCTCCGTTTTGCCGAGGTGAGGTCAAGTGAATAACCACACTGGAATCCTGTATGTGTGTTTCGGAGACACAGCACACATCAATGGTAAGAGACTCTAGGGTTTTAGCCAAGGAAGCCTGCTGACCGATTTGACATAGGGTTCGTACGTTGAAGGCTCCAATGTGTAGTTTGGAGCGAGGTTTCAGTAGACCTGGGACAGAGTTTTGAGCACTAGAATCGTTGGCTACGGTGACACTTGAGGAGGAAGCCGAGAGAGGAAATTTAAAGTTGAAAGTCGATGTAGGAGGAATAATAGGAATTGAAGAGGGAGGTTGATTATGAATACAGTGGTCTTGAGTGCTGTTAGAGGTATGAGGGCGGTTATCACTTCCCGGTTGCCCACACCGTGGAAGGGTTCTTCTGGAGGTACCTGAAAAGGACATTGGATTAAAGGTGGTCTTAGTGACCTGAGAGCGTGACCGCAGTGCCAAAGGGACAACTGCTTGAGGTCGGTTACACACGACCTTTTTATGGGTAATTTTTGTGTTAGCTCCGTACTTATTGAGGCCTTACCGCCGGAGACGGATATCCGTGGGATAAGGCGAGGTGTGCATTTTTAGGGTCGACCTTTTCTAATCCCAACCCTCCTTGTGGGAAGGCAGCATCGCTGTCATGATGGTTGTCTTAAGGAAACACCTTACTACTGTCACACCTCTGTACAGTCAGCAGTACGACTTCGCCTTCGAACCTTGGGTTTGTTGCTTTTAGTCTTACCGCTCTTCAACCGACCTGTCTGACATGGTAGGACCTTGAGGAACAGTTGTTCCAGTCAGTATAGCTCGGTTGCTTCATCACGATAGGCAAGCCCGACCACCACGTCAAGGTAGCAACAACGGTTGGGTTAAGAACAGTAATAGCACGAGAAGGCTGTGAGTAGAACTTTCCTGTTAGTGGATGTATGCACGTGGCCATATGAGAGCATTTTTGTCCCCACTTTTGGTTGTACCAGGGCATTTGGGGGCAATCACGTGATGTAGTTTGTTTTACTCTGTTTTATGTTTTTCACTTGGTCTATATCATTTGTTTCCATCGTTCATATTGTGTATAAATATCTTATTATGTTGAATATCTTCTTCTACACCATTCGAGAATATGATACTTCGGAATCGAATACTTTTTCAAGGTTTTATCCTATTCACACAGTAATTCATTATTTTAGTTCATTTATATTCTAAGAATTATATTTCACTGTAACTTCAAATGTAGATGATCATTGGGTATTTGAAGGGTAATGCCTTGAACTATTAAAAAAATGGCATGTTTCTTCTTGTTTTATTATTATTTTAAAAAAAATAAATGTTTATTCTCAAAAATACATAACTAGGTGAATTGCTATCGTACCTTCCTTAAATTAGTCTAGGTCAGCTTAAAAACTATTTGTGATAAATATAAAATGTATATTGTGTTTACTTAGTAATAACCCTGTATGGATACAATAGCTTGATTCATTTTTTCTACTATTCAGTGATAAGTCTTGTTAATTGAATGCTAAGCTCTTCTAGTAACTTCCAGGCTAAATCTACATAGCGACTTGTACACGAGAGAAAAGGCCCGAAATACGTAAGAAACACTTCACTCCAAAGGTTCGTTTTAGTACAGAAAATATAGGTTTTTTATAGTATTTTAAGAGTTCTTGGGTTTCCCGAAGATTCTGGAATGCAGTATAAGTAATCATCCAATCACTAATTCTACATGTGACTTTTCACTTTCTTGATGTTTCTGGCAAACCTTCTACTGAACACTCATTGGATAAGATGCTTCTCAGTGTTTTCAGAGCCTTTCTTGGCTTTTCTTCCAAAGAGTTTTCTAGATCTCCTCAACATTCAGTGTGATAGCATTCGTAAGAGTGTTAATATTCGCTTTATATAATATAGTATAGTGTGTGCTAATTATACGAAGAGATATAAGTGGTATATATCGGGAATTGGAAATGCGATTCTTACTGACATATGAGAAACATAGAGAGAAATGAAAGAAAAAAGAAACGGAAGCAATTCAAGTAGCAACAGAAATGAAAGGACAATGGAGTTTGTAAAGGACAATTTAAAGCAAAATGTGCAAATCATTATATTCAATATATTGTTTTCATATTTTATAAATATAGTATGATTTTACATAATCCAGTCAATTGGTTTACTATGCCCCCAGGTCTTTATTCATTAAAAATAGTATCAATATACAATCACATGATTATTCCAGTCATCTTTTGGCATTGATACTATTCTTTCTATGTGTCTATTGTTTTCTATTCAGTAAATTATCAGCATAATTTAGGATTTATTAGACCTTTGAAAGAAGAAGAAGAAGAAGGATTGTTTCAGGAGTATTATAATGATCGTAATCAAGAAATAAATAAAATAAAAATAGTACTTCATTTCTGTCATGTATCCTTCTGTTTAACACTATTGATATGATGATATTTATAAAATTTTCGTTACCAGTTTAACATCAAGTCATCATAGAATTTTATCTTCTTTTTTTTTGTTTAAATTATAGTGTACACAGAAAGGATCATTCAATTTTGGATTCTTATCTCTAGATGATTATTACCATTCATGTAAGTTTTCTTATCTTCAATCATTTTTCTTTACTTTACTTACGCCTGTTACTCTTCGTGAAGGAGCATAGACCGCTCACCAGCATTCTCCATCCAACCTTGTCCTGCATAATCCTTTCCAGATCCTTCCAGTTCCTATTCATTCTTTTCATATCTGCTTCCCAGTACTGCCAAATTGTATCTCTTCATCTCCGTTTCTATTTGACTGATCTTCACTGTTTCCCACATCGTTCGGACGTTCCATTTACCTATAAAAATTGTTGCTTTGGTTGTTAGAAGGGACATCGGCCTTGTGGCTTCCGAAGAAACTCGGCTTTCACCATGATAGGTCATAGTTCTTATAAATGAAGACGTTCTAACTCCCAGGGCAGAGTTTAAATGGTTTGAATTATTTTTTTCTGGTTAGCGTTTTTTAGCGAGTTAGTTTTCTAAGGCATGGGGTCGCTAACCCCATGCCCAACCCTCTTCCTTTACCTGGGCTTGGGACCGCCAGTAACTCTAGAAGAGCTACAGGCGGAGTTTCTTCAATCATTCTATTCATACCTAAGTTCACTTTTTGATTGTTTTAATTTCTTCAATGAAATTATTATTCAGTTATTCAATATCTTAATTTCTAGTCATTTGATACTATCGATAAATCTTTCGATTAGGGTATGATTCTAAGTTAAATGGATTAATTTGTACATAGTTTTTAATTCCACGACCGTAGCTGCTACATTGACGCAGTGATCGGGCTTCCCTATCGTGACATGGCTCAAAATCGTTTGCAATGGTGTGCGCAGGTGCATCCACTCTTTGTGTTTTCCGAAATTCTAATCTTCTGAATTCTTCATGTCCCTTTCTTTTTTCTCTTTCTAAATTTATTTCACTGGATTATACTCTTTAAATAACATCTTCAAACCCTAATCTTTCCTATTACTGCTTATGCTCTTACCGCCTCTACCACTACGGGATTTGAATCGACAACCGCATCTCTGTGTTAATGTGGTGTGTCAACTCGAACTGATGTACGTACGTACGAAGTTCTACGTTGTTACTAACTGACTGACTGAGTTTTTGATTTGTATTAGTAATTTTAAGAGTATAAATTCATTAATTTTACATTCTACATTTGTTAGGCTTTCTATCTGTGATATGTATGCGTATACTTGGAATCACTTAATTGATTAGTTGCTATTATCCCTTACTTACTTACACCTGTTACTCCCAATGAAGCATAGACCGCCGATTAACATTCTTCTCATGTCTGTCCCCATTTCTCGGAGTAATGTGTTCTTTGGTCTTCCTTTTCTCTTTCGGCCTTGAGGATTCCAAGTGAGGGTTTGTCTTGTGATGCAATTGGGTGCTTTCTTTAATGTGTATGATATCCACTTCCAGCGCTTTTTCTTGATTTCTTCCTCCGCTGGAATCTGGTTTATTCTCTCCTATAGTAGGTTCTTGCTGTTAGTGTCTGGCTAATGGATCCGAAGTATTTTGCATAGACAACTATTAATAAACATTTGTATTTTCTGGATGGATGGCTTTCATAGTTCTCCAGGTTTCCACTCCATACAGTAGAACTTTCTGGATATTTGTATTGTATCCCATCAGTTGTAAATTGTTTTGGATAAAATTGTTCAGAATATGAATTTATTTTATTCCATCTCAAATATCTATCAACTGGATATACCTGATCCCTAAAAAAATGTTATATTTCTATGTTCATATATCCAGTTAATTTGATTTGACCACTTTATCAAGTATAGAAATGATTCATTGTACACCTTGGTCGCTTTATTCAAATTAAGATTATAATGTTTTATACCGATTTAGATTTAATGTTTCTATTATAATTACCAGGTAGTCTGAACTTACCAGCATTACTTAGACCAACAGACAAGGATGCCACTACTATTGTATGAATGATGGTAATATTTGATATAATTTGACCTGTACCTTATAGTAAAATCAAGTGCGAAATAACTTCTCACCCTACTTATCTTTTTAATAAATATCTCAATGGGAAATTTCACTTTAGAAAGATAAAAAAACCGATAGTCATTTAAGGAAACTACTTGGTTTGCCGTAGGTAAGATTAAGGCTTAACAAGTAGTGGTTTCGTGAATATGCCACGCAAGCATGAGAGCTTGAGTTAGGGTAGTTCGTTCAAAGATATCAAGGAAATATGAAACTTCTAGCTATATACAAAAGTATTTCTTGCCAGTCACTTGTTTACTAGAACTCAAAAACCCACTCGTGAACATTGACTTGCAGCTAATTTAAATGTTTTCCAACAATGATGAATGGTAGATATATAAACTCCTACTAGCCCTTCAGAAGTACGAGTTACCTTGAAGACGTCTTAAATGTTCACATGTTCAATATTCCATAATGATAATTTGTCTGAAATCTATGACAAGGAGTAAATGTAATAGGTAGATTGTCATGATCTGTTCTTTGCACCATGCGCTAAAATTGCTTCAATGAAATGAAACTGCCTATTGTGCTCAGTCAGTCAGCTACAACGTAGGATCACGCATATATATGCATCGATCCAAGTTGCCACACCTCATTAGCACAACAAGACGAACATCAAATTCATAGAAGCAGTTACTTCATTGGAAAGATTGCATATAAGGATATGATAGTGGGAAAAGAAGAATTAGTTCATAGAAAAAAGGTATGAAGTAATTTTAATCTCATAGTTTAACAGAAGACAAACTGTGTATACATTTACACCAATTTGACCGATTATGAGCCATGTCACCTAGAGTCTCCAATCACTAGTTATGATAGTCACACCGACTCCACCCAAGTAGTCTGCATCTACCAACATAACTCAGACTAGAAGTTAGTGACTTCAAGAACTGATGCCACGTTTTGGTTTGGTCGCCCGTCTAACTTTCTTCTAACCATCTCCGATACTAATCAGCTTTATGTTAAACCTTTTAATACTGTTATCTCTATTTATTCATAGATTCACTTTATCTATTGGATTTCATTTGTATCAATGTCAGAGGTTGATTAATTCTTTATTGTTGTTGTTGTAATATCAAATTCTAATTTATGAATTCTATTACCTTAATTCATTCATAAATGTATGTAGAATCTACATAAATCTATTTCTTATTTTATATATCTAGTCAATTGAAGTATTTTATTCAAGATTAATTTGTTTATAATAATAATAATAATAAAAATGGTAAAGAAGGAGGAATGTTATTGATTTCAAACCGATCCAAATATTCTTTCTTTCATAATAATTATCAACTTTGTCTTACCATGAACAAAAAAAATTGAAGAAAAGAAATATCTTTACTCTTTTCTCTTTTTTTTTCTAGTTGTCATCATTAATATCAAATTTTTATGATAAATTATATTGTACTTATACGCTTCTCTTAATGTTTTCTTTCCTCTTTAGCACGTGGTATCTTTTTCCATCTCTATCTCTATCTTTGTCTCCTATCCTATTCTATCCTTTGTATATTCTTCAACTATCTTTCATCTCTCTCTATGGATATATGTATATAATGTGCTTCTGTCTCTACGGTGTTTTCGTTCCGTCTTGTTTCTAATCCATTTATTATTTCAGTATTTTTTTTTAAATTCTCATATTTTCTTTGATTTTCACTTGATCTATCAAGTGTTAATGTTTCCTTTTTCACTCACTCACTCACTCACTCACTCACTCACTCACTCACTCACTCACTCACTCACTCACTCACTCACTCTCTCTCTCTCTCTGTCATCGATTTATTACCTTGTCATTGTATACTCACAGTTTGTATGTTTTCTTTATTGACTACATTGAATATAGTCTATTCATAAGATGGTGATATTTCATTGATAACATTCTGTGTATTTTTATTTCATATTTCATTTTGTCTTTATCTTCGATTTCCGTATTCTGTTATGTATCCATGTTTGTTTCAATTTGACAATAGAAGTTTTACTTCATTGTAATAAGCTAACATATCACTGATAATTTTTTTCCTGGAACTGGAACTTCTTGAAGCTATGGTTCAGATTGCGTAATCATAAAGTGTGTAACTTGGCACTTTGCTCCAGATGGATTAACTAATATTTACGTTTATTATTTTCTGTTAAAAAACAACAACAGAAACCTTACATCATATCTTTATGCTTTTTATTTTTCAAATCCAGGATAATTAAAAGTTTTTGGCTATTTGCAATAATTTATAATTAATATTTCTTTGATCTTATCGAAGTTTAATTTTGACTTTGTTCATTGATGTCATTCAAAATTATATCTATTCACTTCTCTTTTTAGTCTTTCCACTGCCATTTGTTACCGGTTCTCCATCATTTCCTGTCAATGCTTCATCATATGCTGCAGCCGCTGCGGCTGTGGCGGCCGCAGCTGCTGCTGCAGCGGCCGCTCATCAACAGGGTCAAGATGTTCCAAATCAATTCTCCTATCCCACTTCATCATTGTCATCTCCACAAGAATGTGGATCTAATACATTTGGAAGGCCAGCTCATATAACTAATGAAGGAAGGAAATCACAATTAAATGAAACATTAACTGGTTTAAATACAGATGATCCTGTATTACGATGTGCTAATCCGTTGACAAATCGGGTAAGATTTCATATATTCATGTCATGCTATTGTTGTTTTTCTGTTTCAATTACATTATAACTAAGCCATTCTTCTGGTTTCGAAAAATCATTGTTTGTTCAAAAGTTTATGTTTATAATTACATAATCAACTATCTTTGTTTATTACATAATCATTTCACTGATAAACTAAATGATGAATGAATTCAATAAAGAAAATAACTTAATTAGTGTATTCGTATTCGTATTACTACTACTATGACTACTACTACTGCCTATTAAAGTTTATCATGTGATTGCTTATTTGAATACAAGAATGAAAAAAACAAAACAATAGTGAACACACCATTCTTCTGTCTATCATCAATGTTGCAAAATTATGAAAACTATGGTATATACTCTGTTTATTGATAAAATGTTACCATCTTAAGTTGTCTTTATAATAATAATATTCATTAGTTGTGAATGGTCAGTTTGGAATAATCTTGATTCAATGGACGTACAAAGAGACTTGTCAACAATATATATATATATATATATATATATATATATATATATATATATATATATATATATATTCAAATTCTTGAAATGATAGATTGGTTACAGCATTTAAGATGAGCTGATATTGAAAGTATCAACGCAATGTTATATGGGTTAATTTGTTTATTGGTTTCATTTTGTCTATGAGCTAATTTGTATTCCAATCAGCAGTGCGCATTCACGCACTTGTATTACTACTTACTTTACTTATATATGTTACTCTTCGTGAAGGAACATAGGTCTCTCACTAGCATTTTCAATCCAACCCTGTCCAGCTCCTTCCAGTTATTATTCATCTTTTTCATATCTGCTTTTATTTCCCGACGTAATGTGTTTTTTGGCCTTCCTTTTTTCCGCTTCCCTTCAGGATTCCAAGTTGGGGCTTGCCTAGTAGTGTAGTTTGATGATCTGCATAATCTATGTCCTATCCATTTCTATCGTCTTTTCCTAATTTCTTCTTCAGCTGGAAGCTGGTTTGTTCTCTCCCACAGAAGTCTGTTGCTGATAGCATTTGCCCAATGGATGTTAAGTATCTTGCCTAGACAACTATTTATAAATATTTTCACCTTCTTGATGATGGTTGTAGTTGTCTAGTTTACAGCTCCGTACAGTAGAACTGCCTTGACGTTCGTATTGAAGACGACCTTGCATACGAGACTCAAACTCATCACTTCCAATTTCACACATGATCGCTTAAACTTCAAACCACTGAACCGGTATCCAACAACAATGTCAATGTCTAACTTCAATGAGTTCACGATATCACTCGACAATCTTCCAAGTTTTCAATGGTAGTCTAACATTGATCGTGTTGTGTCCTTGACTGAAAGATTAGAGAGCAGCGTATTTATCGATCGATTACAGTGACACGGAAAACACGTACGAACTGCCTAGAGTCTCGATTGGTCCCGCTTCCCTGTCTCGCCCAGCCAGTTGAGTCCAGAACACAAATCTCAGCCTCTGAGTTATGAATCATTATATTTCAGACATACTCTATTTATGTACTAATCAAACAGACCACATCGTATCATAAAATAGAAAACAACATTTGTACAAGAATTGACAAGTGAAATAAATATTGACCAATAGGGAATATCCATTCAAAGTCCAAGGACACTATTAGACTTAACATGTTAATTATTGGTATACACCTCTGCATTCCTAACAGATCGGTTCATAATTATCAATGAAATTCAACCTAATACAATTTATTATATTTATCATTACATTATATTGTCTTTAATCAGTTTTGATAATGATAAGACAATCAAAAGAAGTAGTCTAATGAGAATGTTAACTAATAACCATCAAACTTGATCTAAAAGATAAGTCCATTTCATTAGCTAAGAAATGAATTCATTTCTTAAGGATTATAATGGTATATATATCTATTCAAGTAGTTATTTGAGGGTGGGGGGGGAGGAGTTGGCGCGTAGCATACTACCATATTTCAATATCAGATTTTAGTTACCGCCTATTATAATACTATTTTAAATATATAGTTGTTTATTTTAAATTATTGATTTTTAATTGTTATGTCAACTATTCATTCGTTTTTCTCTTTTCTTTCTCTTTTCTTTCTTTTTTCTTTTTTTTCTTTCTATATCTTCAAAATTTATTATCTGTTTTATATATGTACTTTTTTGAGAAAAAAAACAAACAAAGAATTATTCATCAAAAATAATTGAATGTTAAATGTACAAAGATTACTGAAATCATTCTCTACATACATTATTATTAACTCAACAATTTGTATAATCCTATTTACAATTATTATCTTTACTTAGAATAATAGTCTATTGTTAAATATAGAATAATAAGTAATTAGATATTGAATGAACGTTATGTAATAAATGATTAGTGAAAAGTGATAAAATGAAGATAATTATCAGCATAGAATTGTGGAGATTGTTAAGTTTTTGATTGAGATTATGAACTGATTGATGTTAGACCACCATTGAAAATTTGGAAGTACTGGACGGCCATTTCTTCCTATTGTGGGACTCCTCAACAGGGCACATCCACTATCCGGCCCCGCGGGGTTTGAACCTAAGGCCTTCGGCTTCGCTCTCGAACGCTCAACCTCTAGATCACTGAGTGGGCATCCGATGGTGTTAATGTCTAACGTCAACCAATTCATGTGGATACGCACTGCTGAGGAGTCTCACACCAGAATGAAACGGCTGTTCAATGCTACCAGGTTGTCCAAGGTGATCTAGCGTCAATTGACTCATGATTTCAACTATTGAAATTTCTAAAAAATCTCCACAAAACCCCTTCTAATAATAATCTTCTGCTCACTAGTGAGTAACTTCAAGTGTCATTTCCTAGAGTTCTAGTGAGAAGCCGTTACCAGTGAAGTTCAACCAGGTCTGTTGTGAGATATCAACTCACTGAAGACAATGGTGTACCGTGGCGCAACTTCGTGGACTGGACAGTTGGATGCTGGCTCAGTGGTCTAATGGTTAAGCTTCGATTGATGAATAGCTATAGCTTCTACTGTACATACGTTTCTCATCTGTACTCTTTTTCACCTGATTCTACTGACTGTGTGTATGATTTTAAAGGAGGATTTTAATGAAACGGAGTAACGAGAATCAACTAAATGTTCCAAGATTAGACTTTTTTAATACTTTAGATAGCTAGGCAGGGTGATGTTCGGAGATGCACTTCAAAAGAGCTCGGTTCGTTCAGCCAATACAACTTACTCCATGTGAACAAGTAAATTGATAGATGCACACTGATTTTTCAAGGAGACAATAGGTATCTTTTTTTATTTGAACATGATAGCATGTTTGCTACTTTTTTGAAACATAACGTCTTTACCAAACACAGAAACTATTATTTTTCTTGACCACGTTTTTCTCTATCTTTTTATAGTTTCAGTCTCCTTCTGGTTGTCAAACTAGTTGTGTTTCTCCAATGTTTCCTTCCTTTGGTGGACTCTCCCCATCGTTAAGTGCTTTCATGGCTGGACCATTTTACAGTGTCGCTTTACAAGCAGCTGCAGTGGCTGCAGCGGTATCATCTGGTTCATCTAGTCCAAAATTGCAATCAACATCTTGGCCACAACCAAGTGTTCATTCACCTGTGCCTTTTAGAATTCCAACTCCTAATCCTTCGTCATCCAATTTTAATGTTTATGATAATTTATCTCCACAAAATAAATCATCGTCTTCTGTTATAGCTGTAGCCGCAGCGGCAGCGGCAGCAGCTGCTCTCAGTCAATCACCGTCGTCGACATCCGCCACAGCGGCAGCTGCATTTCATTCAGAGTTAATAAAAGCAGCAAGTGAGTATTAATTCTCCTCCCTACTTATACTGTCTTTTTTTGGTTGTAGTTAAGCTGTTTACTGTCATTTGTTCGTGTTGAATTGCTTTCTGATATCTTTGAAAGTCTTTTGTCTTTTCATTTTTTCTCGAATTCATAAGTAGCCTCTCCGATATGATGCCACTTCACACAATTTTTGAGATTAGATAATTGGGGGTAGTCGTCAAGAAATCGTAGACTTAGGTTTCATTCCAGTTGGGAACGACTGAGAAAGGATCAGTTTTTTCAATATTATATGTACACTTTACTGATGGATACCGATTCATGTCACTTAAACTAGTGGTCCCGTTACAACTCCTCGATCAATAGAATCCGTCCGACATATAACGTTGGTTGTTACTTAGTAATCAATAAATTTTGACCCACTATATTTTGTTTCCATCTTCTAATTTATGTAATGATTTAGTTCTGACACTACAATTTTTGGAAGACATACATTTTTCATATATTAACTGTTATAATTCGTCGTAGCATTAGTAAAAACAATAGTGCAATTATATTTCTATGGAACTGTACCACCTATGACGATTGTGACATGTGCTGCATATATTATATCACTGCCTACATCGAATTGCGATGTTGTAGATCAAAGTATATAGTTTAAACATAATCAAAATAAATTTCCTGGTAAAATTATATCGACTGTCTCATTTAGAAACTCGATGCAAATCTTTAGTTAATTAATAAACAAAGATCTAAAATAATATAGTAATAGATGGAAAGCGGCTAGTAGTGTCGTTCAGAACACGAGTTTCTACTTATTTGAAACTTTTCGCCACATTCCATCTATTCTATATTAACTTGTGTCATAATGGCTATATCGAGGGATTTCGTACAGGATGCCCATATATCAACCAAAGCTGATCAAATGTCAATCAAAATATCAACAGCAAGATGATTCAAGCCATCTCAAGTTGAATTAAAAGTTCAAAATATCATAGTAGTCAAGATTATAGTACCGACAGTTCCGTCAGAGTTCATTCATCAATTATGACCTTTACATCTATTGTTAAATTATTTACATCACATCAATGTTTTCGTAAGTAGAACTGAGATTTGAAACAATGAGTCAATGGTTAAATTTTTTTATTTATTTAATTAAGCACACAAACATTGATACAAGGAGCTACCATGTAGAAATGCGCCGCATATATAATTAGATTTGTGTGAGAGCTGGGATACTGCCCGGGTGCCCAGAACGAACCAGGGAGTTTTCTTAAGGATCCACACTCGAAGCCCTTGACCTAAAGGTCTCGTCAGTAAGACAGTGGAGCAACGTTAGGTGATGCAGTCCCATGGTAGCCTGTGGCCAACAATTAGTTCCTGTGCCATCCATCTCTTCAGGATCATGGAGTTCGTGTGCACCATTGGTTTGAGATCAGGGGTTTTCCAACTCCCCTTGGTAAACTCCCCGTGTCCACCAAACCGGTTAAAGCCCCGAACATTCTCTTTTCGTTCTCTCAATTTCATAAAGAACAGTAATACTATGAGAAGGCAGTGAGTAGGACTTCCGTGGAAGTGGTTGTTCTCATGTGGCCATGTGAGAGCATTTTGAGAGGGAGAACTGACTTCCCCCACTCTCGGTTGTACCAGGGCATTTGGGAGACGATATATATACGAAATAACAAATTTTCAAGTTTTTAGAATCCTAATGCCTCTTTTATTTGAGTTAGTAGTATATATATCGTTCCATTCGGTGTTTTTTCGTACACAACCTTATTCATTTCTTTTTGTTTTATATACACATATACCTAATTTTGTTCCCATGTGATTTAATTAAATTTTAGATTTATATAAAATCAATAATTCAAATCAACGATTTTTGTCAAATCAGAATCCATATCATCATTCCCTTACTCATGATAGTTTATTATCATTATGCACTAACAGTAGTAATCAATCATTATCCAATACTCTACCATTGAATATTGATAATTCAATTAATATTCATAATACCACTTCTGATAATCTGATCATCGGTAATAGTTTACGTGCCTCCAATAAATCAATATCGACAAATTTACCTTCACATTCATGTACATTGACTGGTTCCAAATTAGATCAGTTCAATTCATCAATTAATCTTCAAATAAAAACTGAAAATGATAATTTTCTAAACAAACACTTGACGGAATTTTCAAGTTTAGATAATACCAATAATAAATTAATTCATAATGAACGACTTGTTATTCCATCAAATTCTTTTAATGAACAATGTCTTTCATATGATTCTCAAAGAAGATTAGGATCGTCTACATCAACATGGACTACTAATTTATCGGTAAAATCAGATTCAGAAGAAAATCAGTTAAACCGTAGGTTAGTTCCTTCCTATCGAATAATCACTTGTTATTTTTTTCTTTAAAATTATGTTTTAAGTTATTCAGTTAGTAATTCGAAAATAGTTTCTCTCAAGTTTATGTTATTTTGCACTTTTTTTCTTTCCTTTCACACTAGTTTATTCACTGATTGTTCTCAACGTGCTACGGCAGCGGCTGCCGCGGCGGCGGCTGCAGCAGCAGCTCATGTCCATTTTCTTTCAAGTTTAGCAGTGGCTGCAGCAGTTCACTCATCAGCGTCATCATCATCATCTCCGACTCCTGCCCCTCAATTATCTTCATTACATAACAGTAGTAGTTTATCACCAATACTATCCCGTAATAATTCAGTCGATTCAAATTTACAACATTCCATTTCATCACATCTTGATATTACACAATCATCTTCAGTATTAACTTCACAAGAGCCATTATTCTCTTTTACTGCTTCCCAAATTAAATCACGTCATACAAATACCACAGATAATGTTACTCATCAAATTTCTGGCCATTTAAAACCATTTAAGTCTTTTGGTTCAATCACTGATAATGTATGCGCATCATCTCATAATACGTAAGTGAAGTTTAAATTTTCGTACCTTACTACGGTAGTTATAGGTATGTTTCAAAGTTAATGTTAACGCTTTGTTCTGTGATTCCTTCTAAGTCATCTGTCAGTTGTTATTATCTGATATTTCTACAGATTAGTAATAAGTACTTTATTGACACAGAGAGTGAGAGAGAGCAATCATATTTGTTGACAATTCATTTTTTCCAGCTCTTTTTTATTTTATCAATCCGTTCGGTCCCACTGCCTCAAAATGCCTTCGTACAACCGAGAATGGGGAGAGTCAGCTCCCCCTCTCCAAATGCTCTCACATGGCCACGTGTATACGGCTACTACCAGGGAAGTCCTACTCACTGTCTTCTCGCGGCATCACTGTTGTTTACGAAATTGAGAGGACGAGAAGCGAATATCTGTCGCTTTGACTGGGTTGGTGGATACGGAGGATTCACGTACGGGGGTTGGAAAACTCTGGTCCTAAACCAATGGTGGATATTGGCTTCAGGATCTTAAAGGGACAAATGGTGTATGAACCAATCGTTGGTCATCGAAAACCATGGAAATACATTTCCTGACGTCGCTCCACTGCCTTCTGGATCAAACCTTCAGGTCGAAGGCCCAAGCAGCGGCCCCCTAAGAAAACCACCTGTTTCGGTTTGAGCACCCGGGTAGTATCCCAGCCCCCACACAAATCGAATGACGAAGTGTGACTTAGATATATTTGATGCCTTTTTGTACCAATATTTATGTGCTTAAATAAATAAATAAAGTTCATTCCCATTTGGGAGCTCACGTTTGATTTCTATGTTTATAAGTTGAGGCGCTTACTTTATCCGCCAACTTAAATCGCTTTGGAAAAAGTTATGTTTTCTGATGTTAATGTTTTAGTCGATTAATTCATTCAATAAAAAATCTCTAAAATCTTCCTCTTGAGAGAAATCATAAGAACTTTGATTTTGAAATTTCGATTTTGTAATTTCTTGTTGTTGAACACCGTTACCTACTGATTGTGTTTACCATCACAATACCTATTGTTTATTATTCAATTTTGTTCGTTGCTTATAAACGGTGAATTGAACTTTTCTTCCACAATCTGTTTCATATGCGCCGGTATATCAGAAATTCCACCCTAGTTGTTAAAACCCGCAATATGTTTTAGGTGTTGTCAATAGCTCTTACAAGGTATTTTCCCGATGCCATATACATTAACTTGTAATTGGCAGATGATGAAGTGGTCGCCTAGTGAATTCAACACAAAACCATACATATGCGAATAATCACATTTATTCATCATTGACATAACTAATCATTATAGAAATACAAAGAAATGTTTAGATTGTTTACTTGTATAACTGTTTTATTCTTCTTTTTTAATGCTTATTGTTCACTAGATTTCACAAATCAATTCATGATCCTTCAATTATGAAACATTCAGAAATGATTACATCTACAAATTCATTGCCAATTTCTTTACCATCTACATGTTTTGTTAATCCATCAATTTGTTATAATTTTCAAAGAAATTCTCCTGAATTATCAATAGATAATACATTAGGATCACATTATCAAATATGTAATAATCGAATGTATTCTAGTCCTCTTGGAATAAATCCTTTAAAATTGCCTACTTTGACATCCACTACATGTAATATTACTAATACTACTACACTACTACTACTACTACTATTACTAATACTAATAATAATCAAAGCAAAAATGCTACTACTATCACTACTACTCATAATGAGACAAGTAGTTTTGACGATGATAATGATGATGATGTTGTTGATCATAGAAGTAATAATAATAATAAGGATCATTGTAATCCACCTCATCAACAACAAATAATCAATTCAACATCGAATACCAATTCAACTAAACGTGTTCATATTAAAAAACCATTAAATGCATTCATGTTATTTATGAAAGATATGCGACCAAAAGTACAAGAAGAATGTACATTAAAAGAATCAGCTGCAATTAATCAAATTCTAGGCAAAAAATGGCATGAATTATCACGTGAAAAACAAGCAAAATATTATGAATTAGCTAGAAAAGAAAAAGAACTTCATCATCAGGTAAATGATAAGTAATAATATAGTATCTATGTATATTTCTGTATTTAAATATCATTATTATCATTAAGTGATTTGTTCTTCTTCTTCTTTGTCAAAACCCTATAATTATCATTGTTACTATCGGCAATATATTACAATGATTGGTAATAATAATTGTAATAGAACAAATAACAGTCATATAATTCTATTGTAATAATTTTCTATACTATATATATATATTGGTCGATAGATGATTGCACAGATCATTTCTAGTAGATGATATATGTATATGTATATTAGCTATGTATGGTTAATGGGTAATATGTTACTGGTATAGTAAATGATCTTATGTGTGTATGGCTAAGAAAATGTCTAAGTGTATTTTATGAAAATGAAACATGGCTACTCTTTTTTCATGGACGCCACGGTGTTGCTCTCAAATGCCTTGGTACGGTTGAGAGTGGAGAGAAACAGCTCTCCCTCTCTCTCTATCTCGAAATGCTCTCACGTGGCCATTCATATATAGCTTTCTTGTGGTGGGGGTGTTGTTTACAGAATTGAGAGGACAAAAAGCGATTTTTCGGCGCTTTAAACAGGTTGGTGGACACGGAGAGTTCACGTAGGGGAGTTGACTCTCATTCCGAACCAATGGTGCAAATGGGCTCCAGTACCCTGAGGGAAGAAATGTAGTATGAACCGATTATTGGTTATTGGCTACCATGGGACTGTATCTCCTTACGTTGCTCCACTGCCTTTTGGATCAGACCTTTAGGTCGAAGGCTCCGGGTGTGGCCTACTAAGAAAACCACCTGCTTCGTTTTGGGCACTCAGGTAGTATCCCAGCCCTCACACAAATCAAATGAAATTTGTGTGGCGCATGTGTATTTGGTGCCCCTTTTTGTACCAATATTTTTGTTCAAATAATAATATTAAAAATGTACTTCAAGAAAATGGCTACTTTTTTCCATGAAGTACGATTACATGGCTTAGAATTTTCATAAGACTCCTTAATTTAAAAAAAAATTAATATGCATATTGGTTATTTGGATCTTCCCATTGATGTTTACAACTGCCATTGATTGTTGCCATAACTTATGCTCTATGTGTTCTATAAATTACAATAGACTTGTTTTTACTAAATCTCTTTTTGGTGTTTTAGCTGTTTCCTGGCTGGTCAGCAAGAGATAATTATGCTATACATTCAAGACGTAAAAAGAAACGAAAATTGGCAGCTGCAGCAGCTGTTGCACAAACAAAAATTCATTCAACCAGTGGTAAAACTCTTGGTAATACTGGTATTCACTTATCTTCGGAATCCGGTGGGGATTTCGGCAATTCCGATTCAAATGAAGAGCGTACTAATAGACTATCTGTATTAGTAGGTAATGCAAACTCTACGGATATAAGCAGTGCTAAAAAATGTCGTGCACGTTTTGGTTTAGAGCATCAAAATCGTTGGTGTAAACCATGCAGGTAAGACATGAATACAAGTTGTGCTTTATTTTTTTAATTGTTAAATACTTGATTTTACTGACTTCAATTTTATTGTCATTGTTATAATTCTCTCCTATTACAACTCAGTTAGTCCTATTGCTTACTAGTCTTAGACACCAATTCACTCGACAGGTCCCCAAGTCAGAACACGGTTTAACAGGAAAGGAATTATATTACGAATGACAAGGAATAGATGAAAGTAAGAAGCACAATAAGAAAAACGATAGTATATTTATAGTTTAACATAGGAAGATTCTAGAGTGTTCTCAAAGTATCGGCTGGCGCTGATTGAATAAGAATTAACCAATCAGCGTGCACCAATACAATCATACACGAAACATGTTTTAATCCACTTTATATCCCCGCCAACAGTCATTTATTGTGATCGCCACCAATATAAACTAACTTATCAATTACTATTTATTTAATTAAATTGTTTGATATGACTAAAATATGTGGTCGTTTATTAACGATACTAATTATCAAATATTTTCTTATTGATTCTTTGGTTTTCTTTCACTGTTTCGTTGCATCTTTAATCTGCGATTCATTTTTTCCCCTCTAAACTTTAGTTCTATTACGCTTCATGGATTTCTCTTCCATTATATCAACGCTTTTCCAACTTGACTCTCTAGATATTTGTGTCCTAAGATTCGATTCTAAGATGGTTTACAACAATCAGTGCAAAATCTTCAAACCAGGTTTATTTGTAGTCATAAGTATTTACTCACTGCATATATGACTTAACCTGATGTTTTGATAGGAAAAGGGGAGTGTGAGAAGGAGCGAAAATAAAATTGTTTTTCTAATTTGCTTGTATACACTATTATATATGAGTAATAACTGAACAAACATCAGTTCAATATGTTTTGGTAACTGTTTCCAATTGTTCAAATACTGTAGACTACAGAGTATTGCATCACTGTTTAGTAGTTTTACTGATAAATTCCTGTGAACACTAGGTCATTTAGGATTGACTTGATTCATGCTTCAGAAGTGATTTGTGTGGATATGTTGCTATTCACGGTTTTTCATTCACTTATCGTGTAATAATGCAAGGTGAAATGGATTTTAGTGTTAACAGCTTGAATTTCGTTCATTATCTTTTAGATTTTACCTAATTAATAAACTTCTATCAGTGTAGTGTAATGTAAAAAGACTTTGTGAAATTCGCATATGAACATTGGTAGAATGAGGCAGCAAATATATATGTGTCATTTGATTTGTGTGATGGCTGGATTGCTGCCAGGGTGGGCAAACCGAATGAGATATATTTCTTAGGGAGCGACTTCTTGAGACTTTAACCTATAGGTCTAATCTGAAAGGTAGTAGAGCAACGTGAGGAGTTGCAGTTCCATGACCAACAATCGGTTCATACACCATTTGTTCGCTCAGGATCGTGGAGACCATGTGCACCATTGATTTTGAATGAGGGTTTTCCAACTCCCGTAGGTACATCCTCCATACCCACCAACTCGTTTAAAGCGATGGACATTCACTTTTCGTCGTCTCAATTTCGTAAATATTAGTAATGCGGCGAGATGGCAGTGAATAGGACTTCCGTGGTAGTGGCTGTATACGAGTGTCCATGTAAGAGCATTTAGAGAGAGAGAGCTCTTTCTTCTTACTCTCGGCCGTACCAGATTTAAGTAATTGCGCCTTTTTAAGTTTCATACAGAAATACAACCCTACACTGTTGGGGACGTTAGATCCCCAGAACTCACTTGGGAAAGGAACTTATTTCGTAATTTTATTTAGAAAATTTGAATTTCTTTGTTTTCGCGCCAAAGACGTTCTTATCACCTTCATGTCATGTTTCCCACTGGGAAATATCCTAAATGCTCTTGGTCTGTTGCGTCTTTTAGTATGCTATTTGATAACTCTCCTTAAGTACGGTTTTGTACTGTTTATATACATTTTGAATTGTGTTTGTTGTTATCGCTGGTTTGTGGCCATTTGCAAAATATACTTCCCCATTTCAATCTTGGACTTCTTCCTCTAGTTATCGGGGCTTGGACTTATGAAATAGCTAGATTATTGGTGTTTGGTCACTGAGTGTTGTTTCTCATTCTCAGATTAAGTGAACTCGTGATAGATTTAACCGTAGCATACACACAATAATATCATTTTAAATTGTTTTAAAATATATAGTTATCATCAGTTGAATAAATAGTAGAGAGAGTTTAATTTCTATTTGAACAGTTTAAGTAATCTATTGAAATGGAACACTTATTGATTTTGTGATTGATTCATCTCTTTCTTTTTTTTGTATTGGTAACCATGTCTACCGCTTATATAAAGCATAATAATAATACTTACTACCTTATATATCAGATATTATGAAATACAAGAGATAAATTTCAAAGTAATCCATTTTTTTTTTGTGTGTGTTTTTTTCTTTCTCGTCGCAGTACCTAGTTTATTATTATTAAATGAATCGTGTGATTTTTCGTATAGTTACTAGGCTGAATTGTCCCAGTATAGAATATGTACAATCTAAATTATATATAATGAACAGATGTTTATAGTATAATTGTTGATTTCTTCTTATTGTTATAATGAAGATTGGTGACAAGTTGTTGTTGTTTTTGTTGTTTTCTTTATTTCTTTCTATCTAAATATTCTTGTTGTCTACAGAAATAATTAATTTCAGTGTTTGTAAATTACTTTTTTAGTTTCGATCTTCTTTTTTTTATTATTATCTCGGTGATAAGTGTTGTTAAGAGAATGTTATATTCAGTTGCTAAGCTCTTCTAATAACCCTTAGGCTTACTTTATATACAGTGATTTGAACACGAGAGAAAAGTCATGAAATACGTAAGAAAACTCTAATCGTTAGTTAAGGTACAGAAAACCTAAGATTTTTATTCTATAGTATTTTAGATATTCTTTGGTTTCTGGAAAATTCTTAAATGCTATTAAACATAGTAACAGTATAAGTAATCATCCAGTTAGAAAATTAACATGTGACTTTTCAATTTCTAGCTGTTTCTGGCAAAACATCTAGTGAACGCTGATTGGATAAGATGCTTCTCAGTGTTTTCAGAGCCTTTCTTGGCCTTTTTTTCGAAAAGTTTTCTGAATCTTTAACAGTTAATTTAATAAATGAATTCAATACTTAGAATTTATTGTAAAATATGGTTGTGTGGCATTATTTTTGAGATTTAGTTCAGACTGAAGTTAATTTAGTTTTGGTTTAGGATTTCTTTCAACTGTTTTCAGTCAGTCAGTTAGCTACAACGTAGGATCAGGCACATATATGTATCGGTCCAAGTTGCCATACCGCATGAGCATAGCAAGATGAACAACGGATTCATAGGAGTGGTTAAGTCAATGGTGGTAATATATAAAAGAAAGATTGAATATAAGGATATAGTACTAGAAGAAAGAATTAGTTCGTAGAAAGAAAGATATGAGGCGATTGTAATCTCATAGTGTAAAGGAAGACATAGATTTTATACACTGATGTCATTGTGATCGATTCTGAGCCATGTCACTAAGAGTCTCCAACCATTGATTACAATAGTCATGTGGACCCCAACCAAGTAGTCTGCATGTACCAACATGGCTCAGACTAGAAGTTAGTGACTTCAAGCACTGATGCCACGTTTTGGTTTGGCCGCCCCTTACTTTCTTCCAACCATCTCCAACACCGGTTAGCATTGCACGTCGTGGTAATCGGTGTTCAGGCATACGTTACACGTGGCCCAACCATCCTAGTCGATGAAGATTCACAACTGTTGTAAGTAAAAAGGTATAACTGTATCATTCACTTTTTTTTTAGTAAAAAAAGATTATGTTAACGATGTTACGCAATAGGTCTTAGTCGAATAATGTAAACCAGTAAATTACATTGATATTGTTATTGTTACCATAATCTCATGTGAATAATAATTGTATTAACTTAAGATGGTAGTGTATAATCTGATTGTGTTCTGTTTAACTGTCGTTAAGGGTTGATCAAACATTGAATATTTTAACAATTTTTATGCAGTTCTCAGTTTTTGTTATCTGTTTGCTTGTGCGTTGTTGTTGCACAGTGATGAATTTCCAATCAAATGAACTTTTCCATGTATGTGAGAGGATATTCATTCATTTGACATTATTTAACAATTTTTATGGATTATTTTAATGATGGTGTAAATATTTTCTTATTGATGCACTATCAAGCTTTCGTTGTAACTTCTGGTCTGAGCTATGTTGATAACGACAAACTACTTGGTTAGGGTTCACGCGATTATCATGACCAGTGGTTGGAGATATGGCTTAGGATCGATCACATTGGTGTAGGTGTATACACTGTTTGTCTTCCGACAAACCGTGAGTATAAAATTACTTCCTACCTTTCTTTTATATATTACTACCAATGAAATAACTGTTTCTATGAATTTGATGTCCTTCTTGTTGTGCAAATGACGTATGACAACTTGGATCGATGCCTTTATATGTGTGGTCCTACATTGTAGATGACTGACTGAATGTTTTCGGTAATCTTATCCTAATTATTCGTTGTATCCTTTTTCCTGTTTGCCTCATTTCGACTCATTGATCGTAACAGATGTAATACAGGATATGAACAATCTCAATATCTATCGTTTTGAGTTCTACGTTTTTTTAACAAAATATATTCAACTCTACCATGTATTGGGGAAAATGTTTTTATTATGCGCCTTGTATTATTGCCGTGGTTTAATACTTACACACAATACTTCATTCATTCTAACAGAGCGTCAATAATACTAGTACACAGGAAACAAACACATGAACGATGTTGATAATGATAATGAGCAAACTATCCTTATGCCTTTATGTATTTGTGTTGTACATAAGAGTATTCTGTACACTATTTAATCTCTTCAGTTACAACGTCTATTACATCATAGTTCGACACATTATTTTTATTATTATTACTACTTTTAACTGACCTATTGTTATCTTATTATGACTGAATTACACAGATATACAATTTTTTAATGTGG